ATTGTACTTCAGGATAGATCTTGAAACATCCTTTGTGATGATGAATGCCACTCCATTCCTCTTCAAATTGTCATTCCCAGCATAGTAGACCACAGTATGGTCTGATTCAAAATGGCAAAAACCAGTCCATTTCAGCTCACTAATACTTAGGATATCAATCTTTATGTGTTTCATTTCATTTTTGACAGCTTCCAGTTTTCTTAGATTCATGCTTCGTACATTCCATGTTCCGATTTTTAATGGATGTTTGCCGCTGTTTTTCCTCAATTTGAGTTGTGCCACATCAGCAAATGTAGGTCTTGGATGCCTTACCTTATCCATACCATTAAGGATGGTTCTACTCTGATGATGCAGCTCTTTCCTGGTCCTATTTTGAGAGCCTTCTGACCTAAGTGCCTTATCCTCCTGCACTGTATTGGACAATATTTCCAGGCTATTCATAAAGTTGCACAGTAATGTATCAGGCAGTGTAGAGATTTACAGCCTCAAAAATCCAGTGGGGGGTTGCAATGAGTCATATTCAACTCAATGATATTGGGCTTGGTTTTTGTTTATAGAACTTGAAAATAGAGTGATGGGCATAAGTCTAGAGAACACAAACATTTAAGAGAACAGAGAATGAGACTCTCAGGGAAAAAAATTTAAAAGGACCAGACAAAGAACCCAATAAATGCCAAGCAGACATTGATTCTGAAGTCTGTTGAAGATAGGTGGAATTTCTGATGTACAATAATTGTAAAGTGGTGTCACCTGTATTGAGATTGTGAGAGGTGATGCTACTCAAACACAGATCATTTTGAATTGCTCACCATTACCCTCTCATACTTATTAAGGAGCCCACAGGTGTCAATTAGAAAAGCTGCTGCATTTTCCTGTTTTGACTGACTCTTCAGAAAGTGGAGTTTTGCACCAGAAAAGCAGCAGTTTGGCCTATAACAAAGCACCATCAGAAGGCACTCCAGAACAAATAAGCTGTTTCATAGCATTGTTGTTGTTAATTGCTATCCAGTCCATTGATTCCAACTCATGATGGCTTCCTGTATTACAGAGAACTTCTCCGTAAGGTTTTCTTGGCTGTAATCTTTATTCTTTTTATTGTAATGAAAACATACACACCAGACATTCACCAACATAACTTCCACATTTAGATCTCAGGGACATTGATGACATTTTTTATGTTGTTTAGCTGTAATCTTAATGGAAGCAGACTGCGAGGGCTTTTCTTCTGTGGCACTGTTGGATAGGTTTGAACCACCAACCCTTAGATTTGTAGTTAAGCACAAACTATTTTGCCCCACCTCCAAATCAAATCGCACCGCTGTTGATTCTGACTCACAGAGGCCCTTTCGGAAAGAGTAGAACTGCCCTATAGGGTTTTCAAGGCTGTAATCTTTACAGAAATAGACTGCCATCTTTCTCTTGTGGTGTGGCTGGTAGGTCTGAATTGCTGCACTTTTGGTTAACAGCCAAATGCTTTAAACACTGCATCACCAGGGCTCCTTTTGTACCAACTAGCAACCTTTTGTCTATGACTATTATTGACTACATCTCAACATAAAGAAAACAAAAATCCTCACAACTGGACCAATGAGCAGCATCACAATAAATGGAGAGAAGATTGAGGTTGTCAAGGAATTCACGTTGCTTGGTTCTACAATTGATGCCAACGGAAGCAGCAGTCAGGACATTAGACTACATGTAGCATTGGGAAAGTCAACTGCGAAGGAACTGTTTCAAGTGCTGAGGAGCAAGGATATCTTAGTCCTCCTTGAGGACTAAGGTGTGCCTGACACAAGCCATGATATTTCCAATCGCCTGGTATGCATGTGAGAGCTGGACAATGAATAAGGAAGACCGAAGAAGAGTTAATGCTTTTGAGTTGTGGTGCTGGTGGAGAATGCTGAAAAGTACCATGGACTGCTAAAAGAACTAACAGATCTGTCCTGGAGGAAGTGCAGCCAGAATGCTCCTTGGAAGCAAGAATGGCCAGACTTCGTCTCACCTATTTTGGTCATGTTGTCAGAAGGGACCATTCCCTGGAGAAGGATGTCATGCTTGGTAGGGTGGAGGGTCGACGAAAGAGGGGGAGGCCTTCAATGAGATGGATTGATACGGTGGCTGCGATGATGGGATCAAGTATAGCAGGGATTGTGGGGCTGGCACGGGATCGGGCAGAGTTTCGTGCTGCTATGCATGGGGTCGCTGAGTCGGAAACGACTCGACGGCACTTAACAACAACAACAACATTATTGACTTAAAAATAATCCAAGTGGTTGTAAGTATAATCCAAGTGGTCTTGCAGAACAAGAAGCTAAGCATAATGGCCCAGGCGTTAATCTACACTGTGCTCTCATTGAAAAGCATATGATGTGATAAAATGGAATTTCTGCAAAGCCATGAAATTCAGGAAATATACCAAAAGACTTTTAATCTGATGGAACAGTGATGTAGAAAAACATTGCAGTATTAGATCTTAGGTGGATGAAATCAAGTTTGTATTTCAACAGCACAATGCACCAAAGGAAGAGTTTCAACTCGATGGGGGGGGGGTGCTACAGGTGGGATGTAATGGTTAAAAGTGGTAGCTTCGTACAGCTCTTCTTTGTTGCCAGTGTCAGTGGGAACGTTTGATGTGCTTTTAAACAGCACAGAAAGCAGCTGATGCACTTTTAAAAAGCAAAATGTTTCCATTCAGATTCAACCTTTCATTATACATTTTCAGTTTGTACATTTGTGTGTTTAAGGCTTTTGTTGTTTGGGATTTTTCCACCTGACTTGTGAATAATTAAATACATTATATAATTATTGAAAAACTTAAGACTGAAAAGGGAAACTTCAGTGAAGTTATTACATAATGGTTCTGAATTTTTTCAAGCATTCTTGGAAACTGCACATTAGCCGTACTGCTATTGAGAACTGCATTCCGGTGGGGAGTCTGGTACTCTCTGAAATCTACCTCTATCTTGAAGCAAAACAAAAGCAAAAAACCTCAGAAGCATGAAACAGTATAAAAGCTAAATCAGACCTTGAAAGTATTGATTATCTCATTACCTTACATTATAAATAACTGTTGTAAATTATACTTTGCAAAAAAAAAATCAGAAAATCAGTATTTATAAAACCGAAATTATACCTATAATGAAGTATCTATTAAAATGTGGTGATTACCAAGTATATATATATATAAGTATGGCAGATATATTTCTCTATATATATTTGTAC